TGTTCTTTCCTCACTTCTTGCTAAAGTTTTCTCATTCTCTTTTACTCCTCGTAGCATTATTGCCTTGCTTGGGGTGAAATGAAAAACAAAAAAGCCCCCCCCCTCTAAAATAGTCTAAAGGATGTTCAATTGTAAACTGTCATAATTTAGGGAAACAAAGAAAGACTATAGTGATTAATTTTATTCATTAATAAAGATATTGTTTAAATGCATTATCACCAAATCTGTCATGCCATAAATTCTTGTTGGAATTCCTTTAAAAAGAGGTTTGAAATTTATATTTCAAAAGCTGTTTTATGGCAACAGGCCTTTGAGAATCAGGGAATGATTGATGGCTTAAAACTTATTTTCAGCCATGAGTTTTAATGTCTGCTGGCTTTAAACATCCTCCTACCTCAACTAGTCTCAGAGGATGTTAAAGTGATCCGACATTTTAATCACAATTTTCAAAAAGGTTATTTCGTCTCTAAGTTTTAAAGTAAATTCACATTTAATGTTTCTAACATTTTTTGAAGTCATTAACCTAGAAAAAAAACCTTTGATTTCTGTCCTGCTTTGTCACTTTATTATTAATATGATAATAGTAATACCACCATCTACTCTTTCCACTTGTTTCTAAATTATTGCTAGTATCTAGCATTTTTGCTTAAATAAGATAAAATATCAGGTTATCTCCCTTTTGAATAATTCTGTAATACAATCTTCTCTTGTTTCTGCCACTATTAGGTTGTTAAATTCGTTCGTTTTTTTTTTTTATAATTTATTTTAATACTTACTATTTATTAATAGTTCTGATGAATCATTCAACAATGTATACCCCTTCATTGTTTACAATCTCTTGCCAATGATTCACTGACTTGTTCAATGCTTCTACAGTAGAAATCATTAGGTTTTGACCTGAAAAATTCATCAAGCCATCTTTAAGCTCCACATTATTGTTGAACAAAACACTCCTCAGATTGTTAGAAAACTACCGAAAAAGTGGTAGCCTGGTAAATCGGGAGAATATCGTAGGTATAGCAGAACTTTCGAACTGCACTATTTTTATTTTTATTTTTATTTTTATTTTTATTTTATTTTTATTTTTATTTTTTATTTTATTTTTTTAATTTTTTTAATTTTTTTAATTTTTTTAATTTTTTTAATTTTTTAATTTTTTTAAATTTTTTAAATTTTTTTTTTTAATTTTTTAATTTTTTTAATTTTTTTTTAATTTTTTAATTTTTTTAATTTTTTTAATTTTTTTTTTTTTTTTTAAATTTTTTTTTAATTCATTAATTTTTTAATTTTTTTAATTTTTTAATTTTTTTTAATTTTTTAATTTTTTTTTTAATTTTTTAATTTTTTTAATTTTTTTTTTTTTTAATTTTTTTAATTTTTTTAATTTTTTTTTTTTTTTAATTTTTTTAATTTTTTTAATTTTTTTTTTTTTTTTTAATTTTTTTTAATTTTTTTTTTTTTTTTTTTTAATTTTTTTAATTTTTTTTAATTTTTTTTTATTTTTTTTTTTTTTTTAATTTTTTTAATTTTTTTTTTTTTTTTTAATTTTTTTTAATTTTTTTAATTTTTTATTTTATTTTTTTTTTTTTAAAGTTTTTTTTTAATTTTTTTATTTTATTTTTTTATTTTTAAAGTTTTTTTTTAATTTTTTTTTATTTTATTTTTTTTTTTTTAAAGTTTTTTTTTTTTTTTTTTTTTATTGTAGTCATGAGTAGCCTGGTATCGAGTAAGTGGAGGAGTGCTTGAGTTTTCTCTCGATCAATGATTGTGGCACCTATGTGCTGTGTTTCTGGACTTTACTCATTGAATTAAGAGGATGAGGGTGTACAATTGGTTCTCATAAAACTGAACAGGTGGTTCAGAGTTTGTGAGTTTGAACTTCTTGAAATGAGAAAACCATTTCTGTGCCATTCTGTTGGTAATGAAGTCATCTCCGTACACAGCACAAATATCTTGAGAAGCTTTGGCAGCTGTATTAAAAGCAAAGAGATGTTGAACATGCCCATTGTTATCTACTTGGGATTCCATCTCAAAAGGGGTGTCTAATCAAAAATAAAATTTCAAGAACATTAGGCAATAGTTTCACAAGATGACCAGAGTTACTAAGAGGCAAAAATACTATGAAAGATTATTCTTCAAGATCATTTGCAGTACATCAGAATGAACGAACAAATATATGTAACAACCTAATATTTAGGTGATTTATCAGCTCTTGTGCTATTTCCTGGTTTGATAGGATTCTTTTAAATGCAGCTGTAATGTTGTGTTTGTTCACACCTATACTGTGTCATTAGAATTGATACACCACTAGGTAATATTGTCAGACCATTTTTCTTTTCTGTCTTCCTCTTTTGCCTAAGGTAGAAGTTATTATGATGACATTGGAAAGATTGTCTTTATTATTTCAACTTCTTGACAGTGGATATGAGGTCTTTCATTGGGCCTGTTTCTTGTCTGGCCTTAGAACCTATTATGATGGCATTGGAAAGATTGTCTATATTATTTCAACTTCCCCTTCTTAACACTGGATATGACGTCTTCCTTTGGGTTTCTTTCTTGTCTGGTCTTTTGCACTATGATGCATTTTATATAGATGCCTAGGATGGTTCTGTAGCATTTTATTTCAAATGCTTGGATCCTTTGCTATAATTCTGCTGTTAATGTCCAAGAGTTGAAGGCATAGAGAAAGATGGCTAATATGTACAACAGTCTGATCTTTGATTTCAAGTAGATGTTCTTTTTCTTTCCAGATTGTTCTTAGTTTTACCGTGATTACCATTAGGTCACTCTTAATATATTTTTGTTTAAAATGAACAATAGTCTACTAATTTTAGTGAGGTTTGTTTAGATTGTTTATGTATGGATGTCAAGAATTGTATATTTTGATAACCTTTGGAATAAAGGCTACCATTTGATATCTGTGCTCAGCTGTATTGAATCAAGTTCAGTTGCTTAAATTTAGCAGTTTTTATAGTCCGTAAGTTGTCTTTTTTTTTTTTTTTTTTTTTTGTAATTCTTTTCTTTTAAACTTGTTAACAACTTTGATAATCATTTAATCTGCAAATGATGTTGAGAAAGAAAATAGGTTTTCTTTTTAATTAGTGATTAAAAGATAGTCTTTTGTTGTGACTTGACTGATCAGTAACTTGAAACTAATTGCTTTTGTAAACTGTCTCTGCTTGTACTGTCCTCACTATTTGTACTCTTCTCTGTTTACCAAGACTAACAAGACAATCAAAAACAAAACAATTATATAGAACAAAGTCAACATATTTACATATTTAATGAGCTCCGAAACACTGGGAATCCTCGTATATTTCCCAATAAATTTTGTATTGTATCCTTTATAAGTGTAACAGGGCAGTGGCCCTCGTTCAAGTCACACTAGCGCATGGGAAGTCATAAGTGATTTGAGGTATTGAGAGACTTGATAATTCTGAATGTAGATATTAGGAGAAAAATATGGGAGAGTGGTTAATTGGATTGGAGTCTGGTGGAAAAAAGTTTAGTTAATTTAAGCTCATAAAATACTTATAAGGAGGACCTCAGAAAAATTTGAACTCAAATTAAACTAAGATTTAGTAAGATTCAGCATAACTGACACTCTCAGCTCAACTTCATAATCCTAAGGAAGTTGACATATGATTAATGAGTTTGCTAAAAGTCCACAAGATTTTTGGTAACTTTAGGGTTTATTTACATTATTTACATTATTCAAACTGTTATCCTCTTTAGGGTGTGTTTCTTTAGCAATCTATTAGACATATTCATGTTCAATTCAATGTAAATTTGGGAAACTTAGATATCCAGGCCCAAATTGAAATACACTTTATGGTATGGCCATCTGGGTTATATAATGGGAGGTTCTTGTTTGAGAAGTTAATTAATTGTGTCTAACCTGCACTGAAATCTGTATTAATGAAATGCATAGAAATTGGTTTGACAGAGTTATGCAGAAATCTTCAGAGCCTGCTCCTCGAAGTTAAATACTTGCTGGTAGACCCACCCATATTCATCGTGCATTAGAGAAAATCTGCTTTCTTTTTCTTTTCCTTCTCTCTATATTACTTTTTCTTTCTTTCTTTTTGTCTCTTTCACACTCTCTCTCTCTCTCTTTCTTTCTCTCTCTCTCTTTCACTCTCTCTCTCTCTCTTTCACTCTCTCTCTCTCTTTCACTCTCTCTCTCTCTCTCTCTCTCTCTCTTTCTCTCTCTCTCTCTCTTTCACACTCTCTCTCTCTTTCACACTCTCTCTCTCTTTCACACACACTCTCTCTCTCTTTCACACTCTCTCTCTCTCACACACACTCTCTCTTTTCACACTCTCTCTCTCTCTCTCTCTCTTTTCACTCTCTCTCTTTTCACACTCTCTCTTTTTCCACACTCTCTCTCTTTCACACTCTCTCTTTCTTCTCACTTTCTCTCTCTCTTTCCACTCTCTCTTTCACACTCTCTCTCTTTCACACTCTCTCTCTTTCACACTCTCTCTCTTTCACACTCTCTCTCTTTCACACTCTCTCTCTTTCACACTCTCTCTCTTTCACACTCTCTCTCTTTCACACTCTCTGGAATGTCAAACTGAACCCTTTATTTTGCTCAAGGGAAATGAAGGATTTAGTTCAACATTCCAACCACCTGAAAAAGGTCGGAGCGTACAACGGCCAAAACGTAATAAATATGGCGACAAATATGAGGACAATAGTCCGAATAATGTAAATAGTGTAGATATTAAGTTTAATTTTATTAAATATAAAAACTTGAATGAAAGTTTAACTTTGAAAGGTTATGATCGAATCAAGCTGAAAACCTCTGTTCTCGTCCGATCACCAACCAGTGTTGAGCCTGGTTAGTACTTAGATGGAGAACCCACTTGGAAATTCCAGGTACTGTTAGCAATCTCTTGCAATATGAAATGTTTCTGCTTTTAATAACCCCCTACCAATGGTAGTTAAATGAAAGCTATTGGTTAATTAGACTCGTATTACTAAACCATTACTATCTCCAGCACCGAATCCCATATGATCACCAAAGTTAAGCAATGTTTTGTATGGTCACTACTTAGATGGGTGACCACTGGGAATACTCGGTGCTGTAAGCTTGGATGTGTGGATGGTGTAATGGATAATGGCTTGAAATTGTTTATTGGAGAGATGAGTTCCAATTTCCATTGATTTTGTTATATTTACTTATGTGCAACTACTTTTGGCAAAGGTATGAAACTACCTCTATGGGTTAATTAGTAAGACTTGAATCACTAAATCATTATCTCCCCTAAAAAATAAAATTGCATACAAAATATTTAGATTTCAACATTAAATAACCCATAGATGTTGATATGCTGATTTAAAAAAAAAAAAAAAAAAAAAATCAACAGATTATTATCTCCCCACCTCCAAAAAAATTCTTACAATCTAAAAATATTTTCTGGCTTTAAATAACCTGCATAAGGTTGATAAACTGTGAAAAATGAATGAATGAATCATTTTTTTTTTTATACTGCTCAGTTATTACTAGTCCTGTTTCCATTGAGTCCGTGCTACCTCGCCCAGAGATTGATCTCACAAACTAATACTTTAATTCTCTCGGTTATTGTCACAGCTGTATATATAATATAAATGGTAACTACACTTCCCAGAAATTAAGACAGAAACTTATTTTCCATTTCTCTATCAACATTAAAAAAAACTGTTAATAAGAGTATAAGACTCTTTGTAAGTGAAAGTTAATTTTTTCTTTTATTTATTTTTTTTCCATATTAGAGAAACAAATTTTTATTACTCGTATTTCAGTTCATCTGTGCTTTCTTTCTTTCTTTTACTCTCCCCTACTGATGAGCTATAAGTTACTTGAACCATATTAAATACTTAGCAGTTCTCTCTCTATCTCTCTTGTTTACTCTCATGTCAATGTCCAATTTGCAAAGTTTATCATAAAAAGTGTTTTTTATAACTCTTTAGTGTTGTCAGAGAAAAGTAAATAATCTATCTTTGACTGGGAGATGGTTTTAAATTCATCTATTTATTTAGTAGATTATTTATTGACTCAGAAATGCTGCTTGTCAGATGATGTCTTCTTCTCTTATCTTAACTCCTTATGTTCATATTATAACTGTGGATGATGGAAGCTATACATATGTTTTACCTGGAAACAGATGATGACTTGGAGGAAGCCATTTGCCTAGATTTCAACCGAGGTAATTTCTATTATCAATAAAAAATTTTTTGTTTTATTTCTTTACTATCTTTGTAGCATAATTTAATTTTTTTTTCTTATATTATGATTCTCACCACCAATAACCTTCAGCTAGAGTTACTGTTTGTGGTATCTAGTACAGTTTTGTTGGTAAAGTTTGTCTTAATATATATCTTTTCATTCTTGGTGTTAAATTTATTTGCATTCTCAATTAGAATGGGCTGTCTTGGAAGAAGGTTAGATTTTGAATTTTATATGAAAGTAAAAAAGAAAATGTTACATTTGATGAGGTTAAAATAAAAATTTAATATGGATAAATACAAAACTGGTAGCAAATTCTTTTTATTTTTTTCTGTATTGCATGGCATAAAATCAATTTATATCTTATGAAGATGTAAGGCTTTTAATTTCCTTTGATTTCTTGTATTTTCTTTCTTTTTTCACACACATTTTGCATGTAAACAATGTCATTACCATATTTGATTGCCTATAATTTTGGGTAACCAACATGGTTACCCAAAAATTAATCTGAGAAATCTTTCAGGACTTGGAAGTTGGGGTATATATATATTTACCCAGAAATTGTAGACTACATATACTTTCAATTTGCATAATATTGAATGTAAATAGCAGTCTTACATGATGGTAATTGCCAAATGGGTGGAAATGTTTTTAAATTATATATATATATATATATATATATATATATATATATATGACACTTTATCCAATTACCATTGCAATCTTAACTATATATCTCTATATGCATGCATGTATAGTCTATTTAGGCAGCAGATATACTTTTAAGACAAACACTATTAAAAACAACAGGCATTTTTATATCGATTAATTTTAAGGATCAACTTTTCCAATTTATAGATAATCCTTCTCAAAACAAGGAGGAAATTGCCTGAAGTTCATTTCAGAAGAAAAGTACAGGGAATATTTTCCAAGTTTTCAATTTTTTTAAGTCATCATCAGAGTAGGTAGACAATTGGTGAATTTCTTAAAAAATTTTAAATGGTGTAACAACAATATTTTTTTTTTTAAAAGAAGCTGTTAGAAGTATGTGATGAAAGTGCATGGAGTGTATTTTGGGAACTAAAGTCATCAAACTAATGATTTTTGTGATGTGTGTGTGTTTTTTATATATACATTTAAGGATGCGGGCTCTTAAGTTATAATTCTTTTTTTTTATTGATGGCTGTTTTTGATGTACGAGTATTGCTTCAAGGATCATAAGTTTGTTTTTACTATTTGATTTAGTTAGTATTTTGGCATTCTGAGTAGTTGTCTAATGTTACTATGATCCTTATACTGCTTATTAATGTGTTGTCTGATGGCACTATGATTCAGTAGGTAGCAAGTGAGTCTTTGTGAAAGTGTAGTTGTAGTATATTCGATGTAGGATGTTTTGTATGTTTTTTTTTTGTTTTTTTGATTTATAGATAAACATTCTCTGAATGGGCAAGCATATTTCTATACTCATTGATCTTATAAAAAGGGGTGGAAGTTTGGGATGTTATTTTTAATAACTAAGTTTTTAATTTTTTTGTAGGAAATAATAAATCTTAGGTATACATGTGTGTATGTATAATATATATATATATATATATATATATATATATATATATATATATATATAATGAGATATTGACTGTTATTTTTATATCTGTGTATGATGTTTTTATTACTATTTTCTCTTTTTGTAATTGTGGTGCATTTGATTTTGGTAATAAATTTTAATAGTATTATTATCAATATTATGTTTATGACTAGTTTTTATTGTTTAAATGAAATTTGATTTGCTTGTCAACTATAGAATTAGGATAACCATTACTGATAAGTGTTTTATATTGTTTACTTATTTTAAGGAAAATGATCTTACCTGTGGAAATGAGTTTAGCTCATTGAATTTCTTTATTAATGACAGCAGTTTTATATTTTTCAGGGTATTCACTGTTGTAGGTTTGAAGGGAAGAATTAAAACTAGTAAATTTTTTATACAGAGATGTGGAGTGGATTGCCTGATTTACAGATTTTAACCCTAGAACACTAACCATGGGTATATAGTACCCAGCACAAATTTTCCTATTTTTAATTACAATTTTTAGTACCAGATTTTCTTAAATAATGTTTTTCAGTTCCTATTAATGTTAACTCAAAGTACAAAGTTTGAAGTGCCTGCATGTAAAATATTTCAAATAAAGATTTATATTTAATATTTTTTTTGATATTTTCAAAATCGGGTATGGTGTAACTTTAATTGATGGTTAGTGTTCTTGGGTTAACATTCCTGCATAAATAACCAGGATGATATTTGCCATTTTTTTTTTTTTTTTTTTTTTTTTAAATTTTAATGGTCTAATTTTGGCATTATTTGTAGTTATTAGTTGATTTACATGGGTTTTCAGCTGGGTACTTGTTTTGGTGTTATTTTTTGAATTTTTGTGGCACCATCTTGTATTAACCATAGTTTTTTGTGATATTCATTTTTATTTAATTCTATGAAAATATTTCTTATAATAATGGTGGGATGATTTTTGAGTTTGTATGCTACTATTTTCATGTTTGGGTTGTTTAAAAGTGAATTAGTGTTTTTAAAATACCTGTTTTTGATAGATTTTGTTTTTAATAGTCTTGTATAAGGATTGGTAATGTTATCTTTTTGTAATTTTACATTATTGTTGTATGAGATTTTTTTTTTTATTTCAGTTTGTTTGGTAATGTATTTATTATTGTATGTGGCTGTTTGTTCCAAAATTTAAAGTGTTATTTAATGTTCAGTAAGTTGTATGTTCAGAAATTTGTCAAAATATTTGACCATGACTATGGATTCTTTATATAAATTGTTAAGCTGTTTTTGAGCTTTACATTTATGAGAGGTATTCTGTTTTTGTTTTTTGTTTTTTTTTGTAATAACGTCAAATTAATTGCTGATGTCGAAGTATTGTTTGGGCAGATAACTTCAAAGTTTGTTTTGTGTTATTAACATCTTTTACAAGTTTTTCAATCTGTCTGTTAAAAAGTTAAATCTACATTCCCCTCTTTCCCTTATATATATATATACACACACACAGGGTGTCCATAAAGTTGGGGTGCACTTTAAAAAATTTATAACTTTATTTGTGATAGAAATAATTTGTAAAAAGGATTAGAAAGAAGTAAATCTATATTTTTTAAGCTTTTATTGAAATTTTATTTGTTTCCACATGTCCTCCATCATTAGCAATACAAAGGGTAATACGATTTTGCAGTTCACGGTAGACATTTACCAACTGATTAACAGTAATGCCTGAAATCACATTAGTTATTTTAGCCATACTTAAAACTAGGTACATTAAAATTTATAACATTTTTTACAGATTATTTCTATCGCAAAGACAAAAATGTTATAAATTTTTTAAAGTGCACACGAACTTTATGGAGACCCTGTATATATATATATATATATATATATATATATATATATAAAAATAATAAGAAATAACAGTAAGATTTACAATCTGCTGTTCTTAGTCATTATTTTTATTTAAAAAAAAAAGTGCTCGATACAAAACGGTAGAGCATGATATTATAATTATTTTCTATTGTAATATGGTTCCATCGCTACACAGGAATTACCATGTTTCAAAACAAACTAAAATTTTAAATTTAATTATAAAATTAAATTTAAAATCCATAGCTCTGTTCTATTCTCAAGTGATAAAAATATATATGAATTATTTTCAGAAGATTAAAAAGATGAGGGAAAATTCTTCTTAGCCAGAGTATTTTGTCTTCTGAGGGACTTTATCAAGGCAAATGTAAGGATGTATTTTGTTGCATGTGTTTATATACAGGAGCAAAGATGTCACTTGTTTATTAAGGCTTTTACATTTGAGAACTTCATGAATATTCATCA